ATCATAATATGAATAGAAATATTGACATTTCTTATAGATTACATGTTGAAAGTTTTTAAAAATTGTTCTACCATTATAGAACCGTACAATACAAAAGTAACAACATTAATTATCTTATGAACATATTGATAATTGCTAATTCACAATATTAATCAATGACATATTGATGATTGAAATACTTTTTGATTGGAATTATAAGTTGTTCATATCGTCGCGGTAAAGGTGGTGTGAGTATAGGCGGTGTCCGTATCGCACAATCATCACAAATGAAAAATAATCCCCAACCCACGTCACCAATTTGTAAGCACGTAAAATGACCACGTACGATAAAAAGCATTTCCAACAATCTTCCATAAATTTAGATTCTTGAGTACTCTTGCACTTGTAACATGGACTCAACCAACTACCAATTCTTGTTATAATTGCTCAATAAATAAAATAACTTTTTTTTTTGAAAAAAACATTTAAAATCCCAGCCCTTTAATTTTTTTAGGAAAGCATATTTATGTACTCCGCATTACCATATTATTCTAATAAAAACACAGCTGCTTTAATAGGATCGGCGGTGGAGGTTTTCATTGCCGGTTGCTTCTCTCCAATTCTAGATCTGCCCATCTTCTTTGCTTTGATAGGATCGGCCACAGACATACGCCGTTGCTTCTCTCCAATTCTAGATCTGCCCATCTTCTTTGCTTTGATAGGATCGGCGGTGGAGGTTTTCATTGCCGGTTTATCATGCCATTTTTCGCTGGTATCTTTATTTCTTTGTTCGTAATTTTGCTTTCCAGTCATACTCCCATTTATTAAGGGTTAGAATTTTTGTAAGATATGTTGATTTATTACAGTTTTAAAAATTACAGAGGATATTTTTAATTTTATGAATGTATAAAAATTTTTAGATCTGTTTAATAACACAATGCATGTTACGTAGTAAATTTTATGTTTTTAGTGAATAGCTTCATAAATTAATCGAAAATCTTTTGAAAAGTCAAAAAATGTTTTTTCATGTCTTGTTCTAAATTATTTCCATCTTCAAGAAATTCTTTATTTGTGTGTGTATATACACACATATATGGTCAATAAATATGTAGGATCCAGTTTGCTTCCTTGTGCATTTTCAAAATTATGAAATTTGATTAATTTCATATCATCATACTTACATTGATTTTTAAAAACAGATGTATTTAAATTAAAGCATATTTGATATCATTTTTTTTGAAAAGTTTTTTTATTGTCATCTACTATTAAATTTGTAACATATACTGAATTTTTTAACATGTATTGTTACCATTAAAATTTTTTTTGTTACTTTTATAATACATGGTGGTGAAATTTTACATCTATTGTTACCATCTTCAACCTAATTTTACATCTATTCTTATATAATTTTCAAAAAACATAATTTTTAAAATTTGATATGTGTCAATGCAGTTTTAAATTTATTTCCTTAAGAATTTCAATTTTAAAATTTGATGTGTCAATGCAGTTTTAATTTTATATATATAGACACACACACACAAATATATTCATATTTGAAAAATCTAAGCCTATATAAATTATACCTATCCAGATATTTTTAATTATAATACACAAATACATATATTTGTAAATCAAAACACCCTTTATTTAATTATAGAATTATTTCTTAATCTCCGTCTTAATTTACCTTTTGTTTATTTAATTATAGAATTATTTCTTAATCTCCTAACATGTTAATCCTATTTTTATTGTTTTTAGAGTAGTACTTGCAGTAATAAATTTTTAAATTGTGGCCTGTTGATATAAATATTAATATATAAAAACGATATCTATGAAATTTTTCCAAACCTTATTTTGTGTATTGTTTTATATTACGGAGTACATATTAAAAAGCATATATTCTTTTTTATACATGTATCGATATGTTGATGGTTACTTTTCTTTTCACCATAAAGTCACGATATGATCTCAATACCTGGAGAAGTCAAGCCGGATGAACAAAAGGCTACCGGAAATGGGTGTATGAAACTTGGATGTAAGAGAACTTGGCTTTGTTTGTGGTGAATCTTGCACGGAGTATTAATGTATAAATAGCAAGTTTAATGAGACACCTCACTCTAATGCATTAATTGTCCAAGTCCTTTAAAGATTTCACAATCTCAACATTTAATGTTGAAATCTCAACATTTAATGTTGAATGAGACATAAAGTAATTTTTACATTAAAAGTAGTGCTTGGTTTGATGGCTGCCGTGCCCACACTATTCGAGGTAGACAGAATTGACAGTGCAACAAAGCTAAACATTTAACAGGCCAGAAATATCACCCCACTAACATGCAGCACAAAGCCCACTAATCCGGCCCATTAACTTTAGGCGGGAACACTGTTCATTTTGGCCTCCTACCATTGTATATATAAAGAAAAGATAAAGATTGGTCAAGTACGGGTTTGATCCGGCTCGCATCCAATGAACTTAAAAGGTATGTGGCGCATGCCCCACCTCTGCCCACCATGCAGGGCCAAACGGGCTACTAGGTGGCCCAAATCAAATTAAAAATGTTTCATTGTTGAATGTGCGTCCATATAGGACTAAGAAGGCACTTTGTGCCAATGGTGCCCAAAATATATAAAAAAATGCTAGGGGTACACCAAATGTGTACCTCATTTGTCCACCACTCCTTCCTTGTCCACAAAAAAAGGTAAGAAATTTAAAAAAATTGAATAAATAAAAATGAGTGGTGGAGAAGGGAGTGATGTACATTTGGGGTACACCAAAGGTGTACCCCTAGCATTGCTCAAATATATATCATGGGTATTTTAGAGTGAAGGAGGAGCGTAGGTTCTAGGACTATCCGTCAACGGTGACCATCCATCAGCGAAACTACTTGTCGGAAAATCTACAGGACCAGATTTTCTACACGTTGTGCCCGATGCGAAGGATTTCGCAGAAAGCGCAAGCTTCATCTTCCGGAGACACACTTTCTTCAAGGACTGCGTGGATTACCCATCAAGAACCCCCTCCCTAAAGAAAAGCGTGACCAATACGTTTACAGCGACTCCAGATTATGTTTCAATGGATTTGAAGCGTGTTCAAAGGCAACCACCTGAAACCTCAGATTCAAATTCCAAACACCTAATAAGGTATTTGAGTTCTTTTATTCCTTCTACAATCACAACTTCTACATTTCTAATTTTGGAGCTAGAAGATATTGCATTTGGTTCAATTTGGAAATTGTCAACTGGATCCTAAGTTCTTTGTCTTTTTTTTCGAAGCCTACTTGTTGGGAAGTGTCCAAAACAGAGGAAAAGAGGACCATTTACCTTTCCATTGGTATCAATAAAAGGGGTAAATTTGTGAAAATCCAAGAGATTAGAAGAGAGGGCAGTACTTTCTTAACTATCCCCTTTCATTCACTAGCTGATGGCCCAAAACTCTTCACCAAGGCTCTCTCCCTATTCTCTAAGAGAGCTACCAACCTTGAGGAAAGCTCAAAGGTGTGTGTGGGTCCCCCGGAACCCCTGCGTCATTCTCCCACTCGAATAGAAGTTTCTTCCCTGCCTACAACAGGACAAGATGTTATTACCCAGCAAAATAGAGATATCACAAGTTCAGAGGGCTTTGATGGTGATCCTTCCGTATCTAACAAGCAACTAGTTATTTTCTAGACTGAAGCAGTTCCTAATTACAGCCTTTCCATCAACCAAGACGAAGAGTTTCCATCCCTGTCACGGAAAATCCTTAGTCCTTTTGCTCCCACTTTTGTGCCCGCTGTATACTCCTACGCTGATATTTTCACTAAGGAACAATGATCCAATGCTATTACAGAGCCGAAAGAGGACCCCTTTTCAAATCTCAATGGTCAAAGCTTGGTTCTATCCCTCAATGCAGAGGAAGATCAAACTAAGGAGAGGGAAGGTCCCATTCTCTATACCCACTCCGATGAGGAAGATTTTGTGTTCATAGACACAAAGCTCAAACCTTTACAAATCGACCTCTCAAGATGCTCCAAACACCCCCTCCATCTCTGTAAGGAACTAAAGGGAAGAAAAGCATACTCCCCATCACAAATTGTTACGAGGAGTAAGGGTAAAATCCTTGAACAAGGAAGGAAATTATTCCTATCGGTTGGGTTGAAGAAGAAGAATTGTCACATGAGGACGAGGTTATCAATTTCTTCAAACTTGTTGTCCTAACAAAATAGAAGATCCTAAACCACTTAGCAAACCTCTAACCAAAACTCAAAAAAAGAAAATGAAGAAAAAAAAAGAAACAGTCTCAATTTTCTGACTATGGTTATGATGAAGAGATTGAATATGCTTATTGATAGACCTGCAGTTATTTTATTTCTCTATCCCCTCTCTTGTGTTATCTACCTATTGTTTGTTCCTTTTAGCTTCCTCTTTTTAACATCTGCATTCTGGTTTCCAAGTCTATGATTTGGAGTTAAATTTTTAAAAGTGAAACACCAATATACTACTGATGGGATTAACCCGATCAGATGGCGGACCAAGAACAGAATATGAATTAGGAAGATATAATCACTCGATAATATTCTTTGATTGTGTATTGAACTGTCTTGTTGTGATCTGCTTTACAATGGCGGGGTCTTCCTCTTTTTATAGTACTTCTAATATTCTAATTAAAATTATACAAAATGGGGATGGATTATGGAGATCATGGGGTTGTGATTCCCCTTCTTTCCGGTCTCGTTCTCTTCCCATTTCACCCACAACTTGATGATGTGGTCCACGTGTCCCATTCCTCCCTTGGACTGGGTCACCTTGATCTATCCCGTGTCTGGGCCGTCTTCCTTTACTTGCCATATTCGAGATAACGGGCCTGGCCCGTCATCCCCATCTGATCTTATACCTTTTGGGCTATTATGGGCCTTCGTTTGGGCCTGGAGTCGGGTCTACCGGACCTGATATCCATCACAAGCCCCCTAGTTTTCTGGCGACGTGTCGCTAGAAAACTAATGATGAGCCGCCTTCGATCTCCGTGTCGGATTAGAAACGTCGCACTCAAATACCTCGGGTCCACCCTTTCAACGGATAAAAACCCTCTCTGGACTCATCTTCTTCCTCTCGCTACTGAATCTTAACCCGACCCAAATTCCGACTGCAATTTCCCCAAAATCCTTGTCTCCTTTTCCGGAATGGCCCCTACAAATCCCGAAACCTGGACCCATGAACCCTCAATTATCAAGGAGAACGAACTTCGAGAGATGGCCGCGCTCCTGGGCAAAAGCTTCCGGGTCCGCCATCCCGATGCCGTCGGGGGAATCAGTTTATCTTACAATCCGAATCCCCAAAAATATATGGTCATGCATTACCACTCCGTGGAGAATGGATTTAGGTTGCCCCTCCACGGCCTGCTCCGCGACCTCTGCCTCCATTTCGGATTTGCTCCGGGTCAATTAACTGCCAACGCGCACAAGTACGTCGCGTCCTTCATCTTGCGGTGCTGTGCCCTGGACAAAACCCCGAAACTGGACGAATTCCTTCTCCTCTTTAGTATCGGTGGTTTCCCCTTTTACAGCCTATACCCCCATAACCATTTTCCCATTTTTGAGAAGGTTGAGCTCAAGATCGACAGATGGTCACTGAAATACTTCGTTATTGAGTTTCCGGCTCACAGCCCCATCGATCTGCCGGGTGTTGTCCTCCGCCGTTCCATTTCCCGGACGAAATTCGCCACAGCAGACTTGGCGGAGGGAGTGTATAATGCCTTGAGGGAGAAGGAGGGTTTAATTTCCCACCACTCTCTCCAAGATGCTAAACTGTACAAGAAGGCAGGTTTTTACTACCCCCTAGGTCCTGACCCGATTCCCTTTGAGGGGGTGCCTTCTCCTGAGAGATCGAAGGCTCCTCCCGTTGCAGAGTCTACCCCGGCTGCGAGCTCTTCTAGGGACCAACCCCAAGGCAACTCCACAGCCTTAACTATCTACAAAACGGCTACCACCTTGGAGGTCACTCCCATCTCTGCCATCCCTGGGCTTAGGAGACCTATTCCATCCCAGAAACGACCAAGAGAGGGAGTCACTGATGATGACTTCCTACCAAAGAAGAATAGGGGTGATAGTATCTCTGTTTCGCCCAGCCCCCTGTCAACCTCTTCTGGTCCTCAGAACGCTTCTTCTGCTGCCACTCTCGGAAGTTTAGGGCTGGAGTTACCCAACCCGAAAAGTCTGGATCATGAGGCAGATGAACTTCCAGGCCAGGCGTCACTCACAAAACCAGCGGTGCAACCTCAGCTTGATACAAATGATCCCCTCCCTCAAACTGCATCTGCCCCCCTAGAACTGGAGGAAGAAGCTGAGGGACAGCAGGAACCAGAGTCTTCTCCTGCAGTGGAGAAGGAAGTTGAAGTGCAGACAGAAACGGAAATCCCCTCCCCAAAGGAGGATGAGGTTGGAGAGCAGAGGGACGCTGAAGCTCCTTCAGAGATGGAGAGAGAGACTGAGAAACGACCAGAGCCGGAGGGACAGTGTTCTACGGCCTCACTCCCGGCTCCTAATATCCCCATCCGGCGCAAGTTCACGCCGCTGACCTATCCCGTTTTTACGGAAGGCTGGGAAAGCTTCTCCCGTGGTCTGAGGTCCCTACAGGCCTCCCATTGGACCATCCAGGCAAACCTTGGGAGGATGAGGGAATCCGTGCAGGAGCCTACAGCTCCCCAGGCTCGCCCCGACCTGCTTGCCCTCAATGCCCTGCACCTCATGGAGCAGGTATTCTTTCCCTTCGAAATTTTCTTCATCTCCTTTTAGGTTAGTTCTTTTCCTTGACTTCCCTTTCCTTCCTCTAGGCCCAGCAGTCACTCCTTACCCTGACTGAGGAGTACCTAGGTGGAGCATCTGGAAACTTTCGGGCTGTTGTGCTCCTGAGGGAGAGGGATCTGGCTGCCAGGGCCTTACAACAGAAGGTCAACTCCCTGGAACAACAGGTCCGGGTCCTGCAAGAAGAGAATGCTCGGCTCAAGGTAGATGGCTCAATGGAACTTGCAGCTGAGAGATCAAAGGCCCAGTCCTTGCAAGAGCAGATTGCCAATTTCCAAAAGGAGACCCAGGACCTAGAAGTGCAGTTTGACAGATTCCGGGCACAAATCTCCATCCTGGAATCAAGGGTCTCAGCTTCAGAGGGCCAGGTAGGAAGCCTGAAAGCTGAGTTGGCTGAAAGGGAGTCCAGGATTTCTGAGCTGGAGAATTCCCTCCAGGATGCCAAGCATGAGAGTTCCCGTTACAATGAACTCGCCCTGAAGCAGATGGAAGCAAGACGGCTCGACCTCGAGAAGTTGAAGGGAGAGAGACAGGCTGCAAGTGAGCTCCGGTCAAAGGTGGATGAACAGGAGAAGATGATTGCTGCTCATCAAGAGGAGGTGGCCACCCTGATCGCACTTTGGATGACTTCATCTCCTACTATGGGTTACCTCTTCCTCTTTCTCCCCCAGCTTCTCGTGCAGACCCGGGGTCTTGACTTTATCCTTCTTTGTTGACCGTTATATTTTGCTTTGTAATATTTGGATGGTAGTCAATTGATAATACCTGATGTAATTTTGTCCATATAGACTCCTTCAGTAAATCTGACTGTTTCCCTTTTGGATTTCTTGTTTCGCCCTAGGACTTAGCAGACTTTTTCATCCGCCTAGGCTTTGGGCTTAACCGCGTTCATAACATACTGTTTCTCTTGTTCTCCATTGCGCTAAATGACTGGCCCACCTTAATTATGCCGGGCCCAATTCACCTTGGCCCAATGATAAGATGGTGGAACCCTAGCTTTCCTCGGGAATCCGCAACTCCCTCCCAATCGGATAAGCGCTTTGGCTCCGCGTCCCTTGCACTTCTCCTTTGGGATTACCCGCCTATTTAAGGGACTAGGCTAAGTCCCTCCAATGTCACAATCAATTTCTCAACATGGCTAATAACGCCAATAGAGTTGTCTTTATTGATCTTACTATTTCCGATTCTTCTTCTGATTCTTCTTCGTTGGCATTCCCTTCACTTGGGTCCCCAACACCTGAGCTCTCTTCTGGGCCTTCTCTTGCCTCTGAACAATCGGTAACCTCTCCCTTGCCCAGAGAAGAGAATAACCCTCATCACCCCCCACAGGCCTCGGGGAGTGTTCTTCCGGGTCCCGGCGTGCTTCCTAACAGTGCCAGGGCGGAAGTTTCTTCTCGCTGTCCTGGCACTTCTCGTCCGCAGAAGAGACGCAATCCCCACTCAGGAGCTTCCCGGCTGGTCTCTGGTGCGAGGCCTTCTTCTCAAGGTTCCCCTTCCCCTCAGCAGTCATATGGACAACCACCTGAGGGATGAGGGGACTATGACATGGGGGGAAATAGGCTTCCATTTATACGCAGGGAAAAGGACGGAACCTTCCGGGATCCGCCTCCTCCTGCCGTATAAACGGAAACTGGCCTTGAATCCTTCCCTCATGCCCTACCGTCCTCCAGGGCCCGGCTTCAAAGGGATGACCGGACGGTGCCGACGGGGGGGATTCCTTTCAATCCCGACCCGTTGGTTCCGTTCCATATCTTTTGAATGTCATCAAGGGAGACCGGTGGGCACCTTCATGGGAACGACTAGATGGTATCCACGGGGTTGGCTTTAGATCCCCACCCGTTGGTACCATTCTAGTTCTTGTGAATGTCATGAAGTGTCTTCGGCGGACACTCTCCATGCCCCCCAGCTCCGGGGTCCTTTTCTGGTTCAGGTAAGGGAGCAAGGGTCAGCGAATACACTCCTTTAGATTCCAGAAGTGTCGATCCGCCCTGCCTTCAATTTTTTTTATTTGCAGTAGGATAGAAGTAGATCAGGGACAAAGTTCATTACTGTAACCCAAGAGAATGTTATCTTCTGTTTGAGTTATTTAATGAAAATCTTTATCTCCCGTCTCTTTTTTGTTTCGTGGTTAGATCGGGGATAAGGCCCATTACTGTTACCCAAAAGAATGTGATCTTCTGTTTGAGCTATTTAATGGAAAGAACCTTTATCTCCTGTCATTTAATATAATTTTGTTGCACGTGCCGTCATCTGCATGGAGTAGAAGTCTAAGTCTATTTAACTCCTTACCTTCCAAGGATGACGTCTTTTCCAAAGCGCAAATGGGCCCAATTAACTAGCCCATGCACTTAAGTGGCGAGAAACTCTTAGTCAAACTTTGGGAAAGCTTCGAACGCTTCCTTCGCCAATCGCTTAGTCTTTCACGCCTTTTAATTGCATTCATCAATTCCCAACTATCCCTTCCCCTTTGACTATAAAATGGGAAAGGGCAATTAGCTGCCCGTCCATCACTTTCTGACTTCTTCGCCATGGCAAGTAAGTCTGAGGGCAAAGTCATCATCGACTTAACCCTCTCTGGGACGTCTTCTTCTTCAGATGATGACTTCTCCATCTCTCCAGCCCAATCCAACGACATGGCCGGGTTGAGTCCTGGCGAGTTCTCGAGACTTTATCCGGCGCCCCGCCTTCCTGCACCATCTCCTCCCAGTCCACCCAGGCTTCCTTCCGGGGAGATAGACTGGGACTCCCTGACTCTCCAGGACTTCGCCTTGTATCAGAGGATGTGCAGGACTAAGCTTGGACGTTCTTTGCTAACTGTTGAAGCGGAACCTTCATGTGAAAGCCGGACTGCTTCTCCAAACCTGCTGAAGCCTCCCAACAATGGTTCTTCATTGAAGGGAGCAGCCCCTCGTCCTGGGACATGGGAAGATTATGACATATGGGAAACCGCTGATTCATCAACGTGTCCCTCGTCAAAGAGAAGGAGCCCATGGAAGGGTCCCCTACCTCCTTCTTGTTGACTGCATGGATGTAATAGGCCCTCCTTAAGTTCCTAGCCTCCTGTAAATCAAATTTTCTTTTCCTTGTTTTGTATCAAGGGGCATTCACTTGCTTGGTCCATAGGTTTTCCCCTCATCCCAAACTAAGGAATGTTCCTTAATTTTGAAGTAGGAATCATCATTGCAATTCAAAGATATACCCTCCGAATTAGCAATCGATAACTCCCTTAATTTCTTTTCTTGTTTATTTCAATAGGAACCTTTATTGTGAACCAAAAAATGTAAACTTCGGCCCATCTATATGGTCCTTAATGATCATTTCTTTGCACCTCTTCAAATGCAAGTACATAATTCATTCTCTATATTAAATTTCATCTTCCCGGGGTTTGGGCATGCTTGGGGCACTTATCGCATCTGCCCCTGACCTCCCCTTCCTCCGGGTTAAGGCATTATCTTATCTACCTTGGATCAGTTGAGCTCCAACCCTCAAAGTTTGTTTGCTCGGTTGATCTATGCTAGTGGAATACTAAGCTTCAGCCCTCGAAGTCTGCTTGCTATTCTTCCTGAATTCCAGGTTGTAGTGGCCCTCGAAGTCCAATCCCAACCCTTTCCTTCATTTTTGACGGAGGCATAAACTTCTCTCCCCTTTGGGGGGGGGCATAAACTTATCTACCTCCCCTATTTTTAGCAGGTGGCATAAACTTTTCTACCTCCCTGTAACGCGGGTCTATATTGCCCGGGGGTGCTTCCCCCCCCCTTTTTTTTAAAGAAATCTATAGAACAATGAAATTGCAAAGGCACTTGGCATTAAAAGAAAAGTTTTATCGAAACAAGCATCTTAGATTAAAAAATAGGGCGTTTTTACAAAACGATTCACTGATAAAATTTGACGTTCACGAGATGTAAGGTACAGGATAGTTAAAGAAAAGGGAACCCTCAGTGGTTGAACATCCATGGACCCGCTTGTTGCCGGAACTACTATATTCCAGGAAGTATGAAGAATCGGTCGAAGGGTGGGAATCAACCAACTGAAAAGAGAGCAAAGGAGTCTTGTATTAGGGGGTGGACCAATGCCCTTGGTTTCACCTTGTTATCAAAGTAAGATTTCACCTGGCGACGATAATTCTCTGCCCGGATACGTGCTTCATCCCTTCGTTCTTCCACGAAATTCAGCTCTACGGCCTGATTCTGTTCGTTCACCTCCGGGTCATATCCCATTTCTCTCCTGGTGGGGATTACTACTTCAGCGGGAGCCCGGGCTTCAAAACCATAAGCCAAGCCAAAAGGAGTGTCACCCGTGGCTCTCATTGGAGTCGTCCTGTATGTCCACAAGATTCTGGGTAGTTCATCTACCCATTTGGTTCCTTCTGAAAGTAGCTTCTTCTTTATTCCGTCTATGATTGTTCTGTTAACATTCTCCACTTGTCCATTAGCTTGAGGATACGCAACAGACACCTTCGTGTGCTGAATTCCCCAAGTTTTGAGAAAGTCTTGAAACTCGGCTTCCTCAAACTGGGTTCCATTGTCTGATATGATCTGCTTCGGGACCACGAACCTGCAGAGTATATTGGTTCCGACGAAGTCAATCATCTGCCTTCCGGTGATCCCTGCAAGTGGCTCAGCTTCCACCCACTTTGTGAAATAGTCTATCGCAACCACAATCCACCTTGCTTGCCCTGCCCCTTTTGGCAGGGCTCCCACAAGATCGATCCCCCATCTTGAAAAGGGAATCACGGAGCTGATGGGCGTGTAATTCGTGGCTGGCCTCCCGGGTATATTCTGGAATTGTTGGCAGGTCGGGCACTTGCGTACATACTCTTCGCAATCCTTCCTCATTGTTGGCCAGAAGTATCCCTGGATGATAGCCCTTCTAGAAATGGAATAAGGACCCTGATGTGCAGCACATACTCCTTCGTGTATTTCTTCCATCAGTGCCTTTGCCTCTGCTGCCCTGAGGCAACGAAGTAAGACACCGTTGTGGGATCGCTTATAGAGGATTCCATCCTGTACCTTGTAGGTAGGTGCCCTCATTCGCAATAGACGTGCTTTTTGGGGATCCTTTGGGGCCTCACCGTCCTCAATGTATTTGGCCAATCGGTCCAGCCATTCCGGGGGATCAGCTGATACCCAGATCACTTCACTGTTGCTAAGACTCGGGGTTACCAGCTCTTCGATGGTTGCCAATTTGCTTATGTATTCCGGCGATTCCGCACTGAGCTTGGATAGAACATCGGCCTCTGCGTTCTGGGCCCGGGGTATATGTTCAAGCTTAAACTCAAACCTCCCCAACATCTCTAAAGACAAGTCCCGATACCTCTTCATCCTTTCTTCCTTTGCTTCAAATTCCCCTGTGATTTGTCCCACCACTAGTCGGGAGTCGCTGTAGACCTGAACCCTGGATACTCCCATCTTACTAAGAATCTTCAATCCATTGATCAGGGCCTCATATTCGGCTTCATTATTGGACACGCGGAACTGAAATCTGATAGCGTAATAAATCCGGAATTTTTCTGGGGTGATCAAGACGATACCTGCTCCGCAAGATCGAGACCCAGAAGATCCATCGATGCTCATTATCCACTAGTCCTTCTCCACCCGGGTTTCAACCTGGGCTCTTGTCATTTCTCTAGCGGTGCACTCGACTTGAAAGTCGGCGAGTGCTTGCCCCTTGATGGATGGGCGCGGCCTGAATTCCACGTTGTACTGACCGATAAAGACCGCCCACTTGGTCATCCGGGCAGATGCCGTCGGGCTTCGGGTAAGTGACGCCAAAGGCTCATTGGTGAGCACAATAATCCGGTGAGCCTGAAAGTACGGGGTTAATCTCTTTGCTGTCCAGAAGACCGCCAACATGGCTTTCTCCGGTCGAGAATACCTTAACTCCGCATCTCTCAGGGTCTTGCTGACGTAGTAGACCGGATGTTGGGCCCCACGCTCTTCTCTCACGATCACAGTAGTTATGGCACAGTCCGCAATCGCCAAATATAGAGTCAGAATATCCCCAGGTTCCGGCTTGGATAAAACCGGCGGACTTGTGAGATATCTCTTTAATTCTTCAAATGCTTCTAGACATTCTTGTGTCCATTCGAAGGTCGCCTTCTTCTTGATCACCGCGAAAAATGGGTGCGCCTTCTCCGCCAGCTTTGAAAGGAAACGATTCAAGGCCGCCAATCTTCCTGTTAGCCGCTGAACTTCCTTTGCTGTATTCGGGGGTTCCATCTCTATGATGGCTCTTACTTTCTCCGGGTTTGCCTCAATTCCTTTTCGGCTTACCATGTGCCCAAGGAATTTCCCACCTTGAACAGCAAAAATGCATTTCTTCGGGTTCAATCTTAGATTTACCTTCATCATGATTTCAAAGACTTCCTCAAGGTCCCGGACATGGTCTCGGGCCTCTTTGGACTTGACAATCATATCATCGACATATGCCTCCATGGTCCGCCCTAAGACAGTCTTGAACACCTGAGAAACCATCCGGGTATATGTTGCCCCGGAATTTCTCAGTCCAAAAGCCATCACTAGGTAACAGTACAGCCCTTCTGGGGTCATAAAACTTGTCTTTTCAGCATCGGCCGGATGCATCCGAATCTGATGATAGCCACTGAAAGCGTCCATGAAGCTCATTAGTTCTGACCCAACAGTCTCATCCATCATCTGATTGATGTTGGGAAGAGGAAACGGATCCATGGGACATGCCTTGTTCAAATCTGTGTAATCGACGCACATCCTCCATGAAGGGGGCTTAGGCGCCAGTACTACGTTTGCCAACCAATCTGGGTACTGCACCTCCCGGATGTGCCCAATGCTCTGCAAGGTTGCTACTTCCTTCTTTACAAAACCTCTTCTTTCTTGTGATAAATGCCTTCGTTTCTGCTTCACTGGTTTAGCATCCGGCAGCACATTCAGGCGATGAACTGCTATCTTGTGATCCAGCCCTGGCATATCAGCTGGACTCCACGCAAAGACCCTTCTGAACCTTCTAAGGACTGAAATCACTCGTGATCTGAGTTCAGCCCCCAGGTCCTTGCCGATCCTGACCAACCTTCCCGGCGTGCCTGGCTCCAATTCCACTTCTTCAATGTCGCCAGCCACTTCTACTCTGGGACGTTTTTCCTCAGCCCTCAGGAGTTGCGCAGTCACTTCTCCTACTTGGGTATCGTACTTGACCGGCTGTTTGGTTGCCTTCAAATACCATGCCCGGGATACTCTCTGAGATCCCCTGGCAATTCCAACTCCATGGGGGGTTGGGAATTTTATGCACAGGTGACGAGGTGAGATAACACACTCCAAATCTTCCAATCCGGGTCTGCCCAAGATAATGTCCGTGCTGGAGATTATCCCCACCACGACAAACTCCATGTTCAGCTTCCGAGTTGCCTTAGTATCCCCTATCTCAACCGGGAGGGTTATTACCCCCTCTGGTTCAATAGAGTCACCAGTGAACCCGGTTAGTGGAGTCTTGATGGGTGATAATTCATCTCTTGTCAAACCGAGAGCCTTGTACGTATTTATATACATGATATTAACGGAGCTTCCCGTATCCACAAGGGTTTTGTGGATCAATTACTAGGGCGTCCCTATGAGGGACCCCTGTCTCTGGAAGATCAGCATTAGAAAATACAATTGGCTCGGTTTTCAGCTTCTTACCTTCCGGGACCAGCACCTTGTTGACCATCGCCGCGTTAGCCCATTTCTTCCGGCTCGTGGCTGAATCCCCGCCAGTATTCCCTCCAATGATGAAGTTACACCCGTGGTGTCTCTTCTGGCGATGCGGTGCGGGTTCCAAATCCTCCTCTTCGTCTTCAAGCCCGATATGGCGTTTCTCCCGGGCCTCAGCTTGGGCCACTTCTTTATCTCTGCGCTTTCCATTCTGAGCATTCCCGGGATTTCCTGCATCGCCATCTTGTACGAATTTATTTAGATGACCCCGGCGGATTAGCCTTGCCATCTCATTCTTCAGAGTATAGCAATCTTCCGTGTTGTGGTCATTCTTGCGATGGTAGGCACACCATTTTCCAGTGTCTTCCACATTGCAGACCTTCTGAGAATAGGTTGGGTAAGTCATGAGTCCCTGCTGTGCAGCATGGGCCATGACCTCAGCCACTGGCAATGTGAAGACCGGGTTGGCAGATTTATGCTTCTCCAAAGTCCCAGGATTTGCGCCCTTTGGGCCGTCCGGGAAGCCTTGCTTCTTGTTCTTGAACGACTTCTTACTCCCCAACTTCTCTTCTTCTTTACGTGTTTTCTCTTTCTTCTCCTCCTTTCTTTCTTCCAGGGTCACATACCTTCCCGCCCGGACCATTGCTTCCTCGAAGGTATCCGGGGGATGAGTAGTGAGATCGGTGCGAAGGAGTCCATCCTGCAATGCCGCCGTGAACATAGCCAACCTGGACTTATCATCGGTTTCTTCACCCTCCCTGGACTCTTTCCTCCATCGGATAAGGAAATTCTTCAAGATTCTCCATGCTTCTGTCGTACTGACGCCAAGTGAGTGAAATGCTTTTTGGGATGACAGTTCCCAGCGAAATGCTCTAGGAACCGCAGTCCCAATTCATCCCATGTCCGGATCGATCCGGCAGGGATATGGTTGACCCAATCCGCGACCTTGCTATCAACGGTCTGCAAGAAGCACCGGCACATGAGTGCGTCACTGGTATCTACAGCGATCATCACTTGGACATAACTGTTTATGTGTTCATGGGGGTCTGACTCCCCATCATAACGCTAAACAATTGGCATCTTGAACCCCTGCGGGTATGGTTCCGCAAAGATCTCCGGGGCTAAGGGAGTATTCGTACGGGTGGTGAATACTCGACCCTTGTTTATCTTCCTCTGCATCTCCTGGATCTGCTGCCTCAGATCCTGGAATTCACCAGTTTCCGGCAACGGCGGTCCCAGACGCCGTGATGCTGGGATCCTGGCTTGGCTCTGGGCCTCGTCATCCTCCAGATTCCTTAATGACCGGACCAGCACTTGGCTCGCGCCTCGGCCGTTTCGCTGCCGGGGCTCGCGATTGGAAGATGCCACCTGGCTGGCCTGGGGTCGTATCCAACCCTGGGGTGCCTTTTCCGGATTCTTCCCCAGTCTCTCACTAACGTGAGCTTTCTGGCGAGATATCCTTTCAAAGACAGATGCCCGCGGGTTCTTGTTTCCATCGCCGAAGATCCGGCTTGGATCCTTAGCCTGGCCTTTTCACCTTGCTAATCCGGGCCAATTCCTCCGCCCGGCGTCTGTCAATGGCTCGCCTTTCCCTTTCAACCTCCTCCGGATCATGGAGCTCCTGGAGGATAGGAGAACTCGCAGTACGCAGGACCTGGCGAGGTTGCCCGGTAGGGATGTCCCGGGTACCGGATGGACCTGGAAGAGCCTTATCCAATCGTTCCATAATGTTGGCCATCATGTTAGCCACATTATTTAGTGTCGTTTCCAACCCATTGACTGGAACTATCATACCCTGTTCTGGATTGTCACTCCTCACCGTCGACTGGGCAGAAGTAGCAGGGTTACGTCTCGTCCTTCGTCCGACCATAATCTCGCAGCCTTATCTCACAGTATATCTCTCAATGAAAGCACCAATGATGGGATTAACCCGATCAGATGGCGGACCAAGAACGGAATATGAATTAGGAAGATATAATCACTCGATAATATTCTTTGATTGTGTATTGAACTGTCTTGTTGTGACCTGCTTTACAATGGCGGGGTCTTCCCCTTTTTATAGTACTTCTAATATTCTAATTAAAATTATACAAAATGGGGATGGATTATGGAGATCATGGGGTTGTGATTCCCCTTCTTTCCGGTCTCGTTCTCTTCCCATTTCGCCCACAACTTGATGATGTGGTCCACGTGTCCCATTCCTCCCTTGGACTGGGTCACCTTGATCTATCCCGTGTCTGGGCCGTCTTCCTTTACTTGCCATATTCGAGATAACGGGCCTGGCCCGTCATCCCCATCTGATCTTATACCTTTTGGGCTATTATGGGCCTTCGTTTGGGCCTGGAGTCGGGTCTACCGGACCTGATATCCATCAACTACTCTCCATTGGTGGCACCCTAAGGCCATTTGCATGTACAATACTCTACTTATTGGACTTATTTTTGACTTATTGGCCTGGTAATAGCATTTCTGACTGATTGTATAGTGGGAGGGTCCGCTTGTTCCGGCCCAGGATTGGCTGGTGGCTGCTCCTGCTCAATCTCATTTCCCACTGGAGAGGAAGGGTTGTTTTGGTTCCCATATAACAGCCGCCCAACTTCATTTACATGGGAGGCTAGCTCAACTAAATTCTTGTCAATCCGAGCAATTGATTCAAATTTCTTGATCTCTCTTGCGATTATCCCTATTTCCGAAGCAATGAATTGCTAGCAGTCGCCCATTTGCTAACAGGGGTATTAATGTCCTGAACCGGATGAATTTATAGGAAAAAAAATAATGTAGTGAATTTAATGCGTGGGGTAAATTTAGTTACCACCAAACTTAAATTGAATTCAATTTTGTTTCTATTTCGAGAAAAATACACTCGTTTTTTTAGATAAAAATACTCGTTCTTTACTCCCTCTGTCCCAGAATATAAGCAACACTCCACTATTTAAAAATTACGGGAACTTTTATTTATTTTTACATTTTCATTGATTATTTGATAGAATAAAATATTCTTGTCACTACTTGTTTTGTATAACTTTTGACGTAATTTTTAAATATGTAAGTTTATTTTTCATTTATATACCATTCTTTAAATAAAATGGATTCAAAAATTCAAAAATTTACTTCATTTAGCGTAATGTTGCTTATATTTTGAGAAGCATGGAGTACTTAAGAAAAAAGGTAAGAAAACAGTCAATTTTAATCTAAATACAGAGTACAAATGAAGACTTATCAACATGTGTCAGACTTAAAAAGTAGTGAAAATTGACTTACCTTGTAATAACATGTGTCAGACTTTTAAAAAAATATTCAAAACGACGAGGGGGCAATAAAATGATGTATGGAAGAGAAGACATAAAATGATGTCATATACTCCAGTATGATATGGGTATTGCTATATCTACCCCGTTTATGATGAATTGACAATTTTACTCTTAAAAGTTGGTTTGCATCTAAACTCCCTCTTTTGTATTTTTAAGATAAAATTATCAATTCATCATAAATGGGGTAGATTTAGCAAAAATAGGAGTGGATTTAGCAACACTCATATGATATATCCAAAGTGTAAATTTCTGTAGTTATCTTTGAATAAAATATTTTTTTTCAAATTAGTTATAAAATTCAGTTTTTCCTCTCTTTTTTCATTTTTTCTTTCTTCTTTGTTTTTATCTTTTTTTTTTGTTTTTCTTTCTTTTCTCTTTCATTATTCTTAGTTGTGACTAATAATAATCTCATACACGCCACTTTTACAATAGATCAATTCTATAATTGGTCTTTTAAAATAGAATATTTTATATTTTAGTTTTATATTAACAAATATTTCGTTTGCGGTTCTTCAATTCCTTTAATACTACTTTTCAATAGATGACTTTTTTTAATCTTCCATCATATTGATGTTGAATTGAGAGCCAAAAGTATAATTTCATATTAACCTTACACCCAAAGCCGGATTAAGAGTGGAGGCCCAATATTTTTTTAAAGTATATATTTTGTATTTTTTAATAGAAATATAAAAACTTAATTTTTAAAGATATCTATCACAATGTTTAATTATAATAGTATAATCTTGTTATATGTATTACTATAATGTTAATTGCTATTTTCTAAAAAATAGTTTAATTTGTTAAGACGAGGGCCCATTTTTTATCTCATCCGGGACCATCAAATCCTTGCGACCAGCCTTGCTTACATCCTTTTTTGTCATAACCAATGCCAAAGGTTACTGCTGATGTGTCGTTTGTCCACTAGAGTCGCTCCCATTGCAATCACTAGTATTACACCCGTGCGTTGCATGAGTCATTTTTATGTTATTAAATTCAAATCATTTTTCAATGATAAAAATGAGATGCAATATATATAAAGATTATGTTATTATAAGGTAAAAAGTATCACTGGTTTACAAATTTTGAAATTTTTTTATAGATTATATTATTTGTGAAATTTGTGGGAATATTGTCTTCATTGTATATTAGAATCTTCAACACATTACGATTAGTTACTCTTGAAACTGCAACATAGAGTTATCCATGACTAAACACAGGGTTCTGTAACAATAGTCCAACATGTTTCAGAAATTGTCTCTGGCTCTTATTAATCGTCATTGCGTACGAAGGAGCAATTAAAAACACCGATTTAATTTTATTGATTACAAACATACCTATCACCATATTTATTTATTATTACATATTAATCTATCAATCATATCCTATATTTACTCTAGGAGTAAGGAGCAATATAGGAAGGTTTACCACAAACCTTAAATTTGTGAATAGTCATAACTACTTCTTGATTAATTAATTATTTACCCTTTTGTCCTATAAAAAAGTTCTAGCTTTAGTGTTTTGGATCAAACTGTTACACTCTTTGACCATAAATTAAATATGATTTAAATAAATAAATATTTAAAAGGTTGACATGTCAAAATTATATCATAAGATGAACTTAACTATATTGAATTTTTATTATAATTAATTTGGTGTTATGCTTTATCTATAATAGTACTCGAAATAAAAATTGAGAAAATTCTTTAATTGATCCTTTATAATTAAGAATTTTCCATATTTAGTCCTTTATTACGAAATATTACGTCGGTGGTTCTTCTTTTATGAGTAACTTTCTATATTTAGTTTTTTTAAACCTTTTATCATGTTAGTATTCAATTGAGGGTGAGGACTAAATGTATAATTTCACAACGATCCCATGTTCAATGGTTCATTTTGATGTTCGCTTGATGAACAACACATCAATAATGACTATGACTGGAAGTAGGAATTACTAGAAACGACATCTATACTATGAATGGAGTGGACTGTGATCCCAGTTGACAAATGACACATTATTAGCGACTTCTTGCATTTGTTATGACAAGAAGAATATATAATTGGTATAAAAATACACTTTTAGTTCTCAATTTAACAACAACATGACAAAAATTCAAAAAAAAGAATGAATAGGAAAAGATACATATAAGAGAAGGATCAATAACCTTTGATAATAAAAGATTAAGAGGAATTTACCTAAATAGAATTAAAATATAATGATTTGTTCAATATATGACCATATTTTTTTATTTTCTAATATAGGACTATTGATCATCATCCATTAGTCTTTATTCAAGTAAATATCCACCATCACTAGATATTATTCCTCCTACTAGATAATATTAGGTACGGAGTACTATATAAGAAATAAAAAAGTTTAAGTCCTACATTAGAAAATGACTTATCTTTTAGTTCTATTTTGTACAAATTTGACAAAGGATTAAATATAGAAAACTTTTATTATAAACAATCAATTATAAAATTTAATGTAAAAATATTGTTATGCTTTGCGTTGTTGGGCCGCTAACACATGGGTTCCACAGTTTACCTCACGACCAATTTCGGAAAACATGGCGGGGAGGTTTAACTCAGAAGAAATGAGCGAAGACAATGAGAAATACAACACGGAATCTCCTTCCCAATTTACCATACAAAATCCATCAGAACCATAATCACCATTTTTGTTTACCTTGATTAAGGCAAACCTCCTCCATACTGGTATGGTTCTTGATTTCCCACACTCTAATGAGAAAAAAAAACAGTTTTGTGTGTGTTATGTTTTATGAATCATTTAATCTCCATCCGTTCTTGCAAATCTCAATTCAATCCATCGATTTCTTTAGATGGGTTCCTCATCATGCAATTCCTTGTCTTTTTCTGAAAATTATGAAAAAATTCACGTCTGTGTGCATCTGTATGTGTTATGGTGTTTGTTGAATTTATGCATTGATGATTGCCAATTCATTCCTTTTTTTAAATCCTTCAGATTTTTAATTGGTTTTTGTCCAACAGATTTGAATGAGGAAGAAGCAGTTGTGAGGGAGATGGGTCGGAAAGGCGTGGTCTTTCCCATTGCGGCATGCTTTAGAGCAGCTTGCGACCATCCATTCCTCGTGGCTATGCTGTGTTTCTTGGGATTTCTGTACAGATCATTCCCCTGTGTCTTTTCCTTATTGCTGTCTGCATTTCCTGTTGTATTCTGCACTTTCGTTTTACTCGGAGTGTTGCTTAGTCATAGCCAACCCCAAACCAGAAGGGATGAAGAAAGAATCGATACAGCCGTGCAATTTGAAACAGTGTTACCCAAAGATGAGAGATCTCAGGAACTTCAGTTTGGGAGGACAATGGGAGAGTTGTCTGGTGCTGGTTCTGATTTGCTGGGTAAAGAGAATTGTGCAAGTTCTTGTGATTCCACTTCAGAAAGCTCTTCTTCGGATGTCGAAATTGTGCCAATTCTTGATGAGCTCCACCCACTCTTACACGAAGGCACTCCTGAACCCATGAACTTGTCATTGCAGGATGATTATGGTAATGAGGATAGCGTCACTGATTCTGAAGACACTGCTGGAGATCAGACAGAATCACAATTTGAAGATGACGCGAAGATACAAGGAGCCGAAGATTACCTAACAAAGAGCGCAATCAAGTGGACAGAGGAGGATGAGAAGAATGTGATGGAAGTTGGGAGCTCCGAGCTCGAAAGGAACCAACTACTGGAG